TCATCCAACGAACAGCGAGACTCTGGAACACATTGCCAAGGGAGGTGTATCCCGAGCCATATAACCTCCAGAACTTTGAGAAGAACACTGATTCCTACCTTATTTCCATTGGTTCCCACGATGTTCTCTGAACATTACAGGATATCCCTTTTCGTGGGAACCAGAACAAGGAAAAAACTTCATAATAAACTCCCAAACATTGTGAATTTTGGCATGTCGTAATGAATTCATGATCACTCTCTATGATATAAATATACTTCGTATTCTCCCTATTGTGACTAACTCTTGTGACCTTCAGTAGATCACATTCCTTTCTCATGGCTTCTGACACTCTCTTTTTATTCAAGTGTCTTTGATGAACTGTTATTGTCGAAATTATCAGTAAACTGAGCGCAGATTGTGAGATTCGACGTAGAACGACCTTTGACCCTGATGTATATGTTTCAAATAACGTTGCTTCATTCAAAATAACGAAGTTGTAGTCCACTTCCGGCTCAATTGGAAGTCCTAGGAGTACGCGAATATTTAAGCTGAAGAGGTACAGTCTTCTCCAGAGAACATGTCGCACATGGACGGTGTCAGCTCTCTTAATCACCGCTGCAATAAGAGCGGTCATACCGTCCAACCGCGACATGTTCACTGAAGACGAGTGTACCTATTTTTTCATTCGGCGATACGTCCAACTTCACTATTTAACGAATTTCATGAATCGATACGGCAAATCAGTAATGTATTATGAAATATGCGATGATATTGAACATTTCATGAACATGTAACGGATAGTTTTAGAATTGTTCTAAATGATCTACAAAGATGCTATAGTATTCAGGATGTATAATCCCCGTCGCCAGAGACATCGTTTTTGTGATGTAGTGCCCGCTAAATCGTCTGATTTCACTTCTCCTGACGATATTAGAAATATTGAGTCTTCTATATACCAGAAACAAGCCACTAACCCTTGAAAAGAAAGAAACAAGAAAAATAATAGGGGAAATTGGTGGCAGGAACTCTAAACGCAAAAAAGAAAAGAATCGAATCAAAAGAAACATCCATACATGAACTGAAACAATTTTACTCATTGACAAAGAAATAGATCTAGAAATCAGGTGATTACTTGTGTACCAGCTTGTTCCTATGTTGATAACTATTGTCATGATGGTATAATTATCTATTATTAGAATGACTATAAAGAAATACACGATTACCAGAACTACATATTCATGCATTGAAATATATATATACTTATTATTGATTTATGCAATTATTTTAAATACAGCTGATTCACTCATTGAATATTGACGTTTCGTGAAGAGTAATGAATGGTATCATATCGAATATTTGATAAACTCCAGCAAATTTTAACTTCTGTGAACGAAATATTCGAAAATAAAAACTTGTGATATCTTACAGCTCTTGGGATATTCAGAGGTATGAAAAAATGGAATGAATGATCTATGTCCGTATTGAGAAAAATGAGTTGAGGAGGGTTCCTGGAAGAGTAGAAACGTCGTATTTCAATTTTGAAAATGCCAACTTGTATAGGCAAGAATAAGTGGCCATGATGAGGTGTCATTCATTGCGATTGATTTCTACAAGTGAATTGAACAATAAAATTACATTTGGATTGAGCGAATTTCGTTTTCTCGTATATCTCTGGAAATATTCGGATTTTCCAAGTTTCGAAACAGCATTTCATTAGGCATGAAATTGTGCATTATTGCAATTTACGGTTTACGAGATCCCAATGATGAGGCTTTTCTAGGTAAACATTCCCGACTCCCTCCTAACCTATAATTCCATATTATTCAATACTAGAATCCACAAGAGCGAAATAGAACATTTTGAGGTGGTGAACAATTGGTATGTTTGTTGGGTACTTGAAACAACCCAAAAAAGTTCCGATTGTATACCTGTAATGTTGTTGACATGGTGATCCCAACGAAGTTGGCAATCTATAATTTTATCGTTAGATATTAAATTTTTCTGACTATTCCACTCATCAATTCGACCAATTACAAGCCAACGAATCAACGTGTGCTTATCGCGAAAACATTAGCTGGCTTCAATCCTGATTGATACTATCAGCGTTGATGTTTTCAACGATGTAACCATGGATAGCAAAGCAAAGTCTGACAGTTGAGCATAAATAATTATGACAGAATGGATTGATGGAATGATTTTACGAAGAAAGGTTATTGCTGATAGTAATACCAAGCATCGAAATGGATGCCTTCAAAGGTATGGTTACTCCTGACAAGCTTATGTTGGGCACAGTGAGATCTTCTCTTCTAGAGAACAGGCTTGCTTGTGTTTTGTTAATCATACATGTAATACTTCGGTTATAAAGATTTTTAGACCAGAATTAGGAGAAAACCCGAGTGGGCATAATGTTTCGAAGGATGACTACAGAAGAAGCTATACACTTTTGGAGAGGCTCCCGCATATGGAGATGATTTATTATCATTTCTGAAATTGCTTGAGATTGAATAATGACATTCCGTATAAATTCTCTACCTCTCATATGCTGAACTCAAAAATAAGAACACGATTCCAAAGTTTTTCCCAAAGAGTATTCACGGTCGGCTTATTATTTTATTTTCAGCTTAGCTTTTTCATTTGTAATTGTGTTATTTCATTAGGTGAATTGAAATTTGTGACATATTTTTCTGGCACCCTTGTTGAACTATGAGAAAATGCACAGTTTTGGAGTGAAATCAACAACAAATTATTCGAAAAAAAAAAAGGTTGGAGTACCATTAGGAAATCCTCATCAAGAGACCTTAGCACCCTATAATAGGATAATGAGCTACTCTTTGATCCATGTTCAATTGGATTTGTAATATAATTTCTGGCCGTAAATATTCTGCCCAAAAAATGAATGCTATAGTTATATCACACCCAGTATAAATTCATAAAGGTGAATAATAGTTAAACGGTTATGAACAATAATAATTAACAGTGTCAGTATTTTGAGACGCAGAATAATCAGCGTGAATGGTGACCATGAGAAGGTTCACTTATGTAATATGTATACTGAATGTATACTATCCCAAGATACATTGTCAATGCTCATGAATCAGAAAGTAGTTCACTCATTCTTACTCACTCACTCTTACTTACACGGGGTGTGGTTTTAATTCTCTGAATGAATTCCGTTCGGAAATAATCACTTATAATGTATAAGTATGGAAGATTTAGTACCTACTTCGATTGAATTATCATAGTGTTCACACAGTTTCACTTGCTCCTCTTCCTCGATTCCCAATAATGTTGAAACTAGATTTTTCCTACTAATCATTAGTTTCATCAGCCAAGAGATAAAACTACAGTGTGTTGGTTGAGGTTTAGTTGAAAATGGAAAATATCCTACCTAGATAATTATAATTTTTTATAGTAGGACTGTTTTTTTTCACCGTAATGAAAACGGCAACAACTCAATTTAATATTATAGACATCAGAAATGAAGAAATATAAGCTCCATCAAGGCCAATGAGCTCCGCGAGTGTTGAATGAATCATCAAGTAATTTCTTCATTTTTTTTGGGATTTGTGCTCCTCATGTCTATAGATAAAAATATGAGCATCATCCGAGGCATCATCTAAATGAACAATTCTAAAGAAAAATCAGAGTAATATAATCGATATATTTATGCAGTGGTACTTTGTTTGGAAAATATTTATATAACAAAGAAGAATAAAGGCATACTAAACAATTTTAAATCCCATTGCGTTCGTTCCCAACATAATATTGAACATTTCGCATTGAAATCGCGATGTTGTCATGCTCGTCTTTGGACAAGTCTCAGTGACAGGAGTAGTATGTATGAGCTACAGGGTATTCTTCAACTCTCCAGAAGTTTCCCAATATCGAATACATTTCATTTGCTTATATAAGGAACTGTTCACTCAGTGTCGAACTCATCTACGTATGTATTTACCAATCTCATCAAGTCCGCAACATAATGTGTGGAAGAAGTTCATTATCAAAGTATATCCAATAATTTTTTCTCGAGGGTCTATTCTGTATGGGTAAAAAAAATCAGCACCTACCTATTCTTTCTATCCTCCCTATCATTCGCACGATGTGCTCATAACATCATAGGAATTTCCTATCGTGCGCTCCAAGAGAAAAAAATCCGATTACCTGAAATTCGATTCTGATACGTGTCCTTATGGTATGGTGGTAGATAAGGAAATGGAAAATACTATCAGGAAACAAAAAACGCGGTAAGATGGTAAGATATCGCCAAAAGTGATTCGAAGAATATGCTTAGATTTTAATCTTATATACTCACGGAGTTTCAAGCAATTATTCGAGAAAGGAAATTACTATTATTCCGAATATTTTTCGATCTCGTTTCAAAAATGCATGAGCTTCAAGTCATTCTTCAATAGATCATATAAATTCAAGTTTTTCATGCTAAGATTTTAAGGTTAAACACCATGTTTTATCTTCTCTGTTTGTATTTGTCTGTATCGCTATTTGAAAATTGGGAACCAACTCCGCAGAAATCAAAACTTTTGTAGGGTTCGGAAGAGCAGGAGCCCATTAAACCTCAACCAGATTGGAATTTTTAGATCGAGTGGAGTCTCAGTAGGTACCACAGAACATAATATTGGAAAAAAAGTTTTTTGTATTCATTTAGTATTCATGATTGAGCAATTAAAAATACAACTCATTGGGCTGTCGTGTTTTCTTCATACCTGGGTTTGTTTAAAAAAAAAACATGAAAATGGATAAAATAAATTTTCAACATCTAGAAAACATCTCGAGCATTCGTCTGAAACTTGATTCTTGCTTTCCACCTTCATTTAGAGCTAGTATTCAAATTTGACTGCATCTCAGAAAGGAAGTAACTCCAGACACTATGGGACCACTTTCTGGAGTTTTGTACTGCAGTTAGAGAACAACCTGTGTAGTAGTAGGTTCATAAATCGATCAAAATATTTCGGGGTTGATATGCATAAGTATACAGAATCACTTTGATTTCAGATTGAACGATGTTGAAGATATTATTGTTCACTTCTCTTGTTATTGGATCCTTGAGTTTGGAGTTGCTGAACCAATGGAGTTTCCTCGAATTCGATCTACCACGAGATATAAATCCAAATGACTTGAGGTGAGTCTGTATATGTATAGCTACTGACTCCAAAACAATTCTTATCGCGTAAGAAGAAGCATGTAAGTACTCGAGCACACAAATTATTTCAACTTTCAAGTGGTGCACTTTTAATGATGAAGTTGTTTGAACATTTTCTGTCATAAATCGGACATCCTACAAATCACTAGGTATCATTTGTTCATTCAAGATCATTGATCCACTGATTGGTACAGGACAGGATTGTATCTAAAATATTTTTTTCCACAATTGTTGAGATATACCCTCTAGTATGACATGTGTCATGTATTGCCTGTACGATATTTGGTAGTAATTATTTCATAGGGAAAAATAATATCCTACCAGGATGACGGATGAGGAATTATTGTGGTGAAACTCAGTCCTGAATTAGGAATTCCTCAGCAGCGCAATAATAATCAATGCACCTATATATATAAAGAAATAATCGAATGATTTCTTTATCATTACATTGCACAACTTCTGGATAATTACTATCAACCCAATGCTACATAACTACAAGAATTATTTGGATTAGTGATATAAAACATGACAATTTCACTTCTTGTTTTATTCCCGAGGCGTTTATTGTTTTTTTGAGTGATGTATGTGATGTAACATAGTACGAGGAAAATATCTGTGGTAAACAACATGCTTGACAATGATTATTTTGGCAATGGAGCATCTAACCTTCAGTTATGTCACGCCAACGTTTTTATGGTAATTACAAGACTTTGAAGAAATCAACATTATCTTATCTATCCAGCGGTTTTTACACTTTTTGGTAACGATACCACTTTAGGAAGCAAAATTTTTGACGGGACTCTCAATTTCAAATGGAAAACGAAACCAGTTACAGTTGAAAAATATATAAAAAAAAGATACCGAGAATTATTGTTTATGTGACTAAGCAAATTATGAACCTATATGCTTGGTTATTTTGGCAGTGACAAAGACAATTGAATGGACGATAGTAGTAACTGTTTTTCTCGCTGTTTACGATGATGGGAACCAAACAAAATTTAGGTCTCGAAGTTCAATTTATTCTAATGGGACACCCAGTATACAATATTCTTAATCGATAGGAAATTCGATTCTGAACAGGAACTGTCTCATGAACTGAGGATAAGAGATTGAAGGACAGTTTTTTTTTAAGAATCGAAGTTTTAATCGATTATAAAAATTGTATATTGGTTGTCCTATTGAAAAAGAGCCTTTTGACGTAAGTCATAAACGCGCCGCTGTTCGATTTTCATTTTGATTCCATCGTCGTAATCAGCAGAAAGAATACTACTAATTTGCTTATGCAACTGATATTGAAGATTCAATGATAACAAAGTTAGCGACAGTGCCGACTCAAGTGAAAATAAACCCTGTATGCTGAAAGTCAGGTTTCACTAAAGTAATTTGTTGGAAACGGCAGAAGGAATTTCAGAGCCTCTGTGGAAGTTGTGGATATTCATCACGAACCCTGTACCTATAATTATTCAGTGAAATTCTTTTCAACAATGATATCATTCTTGTGTCTACTGTGATTGCTGGAAATGATTCATATTTCTGATTGAATATACTCTAAGGATACCGCAGAAATGGTTTTAAATCCATCAGTTTATTTTCAGTTTCATATATTCTGTATTTCGGGAAAGGAAAATACAAAAGTCGCTTGTTGATCATTGAGTTATTCCCACACATCCTTTGGACGTCCATTTTAGGTCAATTCCAAACATCGATGGATATTGAATGGACATCCAATGTACGTACAAACATGGATGATCATTGGATGCTCCGTATTGTATGTGCAGAGGAAGTCCATTCAATGCATAAATATCCCCCAACTCTCATGGATATTTGATCAATATTCATTGTACGTACAAAGACGAACGTACAATGGTGGCTTGAAATTAAACTTCCATCTAATGTCCATTTGACGGCCATTTTAAGTTCAAGCATTCATGGATGGGAATAAACATCCATCATAAGTATATAATGAAGAGTTGTCCAAACTAAATATTCAATTGAAATCATTTTGAGTTTGAAGGTTTATGAACGTTGAACGAGCTCGAGAGTCATGACTGGCGTGACGCCATTTTCAGTTAGTAAATGACCGTGAACATCACGTTTTGTGAATTATTATGGAATGCAGAATATGCAGGACCAGATCATTCGAAGCAGGTATGAAAGCATGCATATTCGAATATGTCTTTTATAACAAATATAGTTATTCAGTTTCAATAAGCGACTTGAAAGTAGAAGTGCATATCAATGTGATAATCGATAATGTGATAATCGATTTCTACACTTTGAGCTTCGACTACGGAACACCAATATAGCAAATTATGATATTCCTTTTTTTTTCACGAGAACATCGCAATAATCCAAAGTGGACTCGAGAAGAGATGAATCAATGATATAATCATATATATATATGCAATTGACAATTAACGAATATTATTATTCGAATAGAAGAACCTATAACTGACCTTCCATTATTTGATCGCCAAAGCTAGCTGAGTATCCATCATTCGTCCACATATAAACATCCACTGTACGTCGGAAGTGGTGTCGTCAGGACATCAAATAGACGTCCATTGTACGTCAAACGTCCAATTTGGTACTTTCAATGAATGCTCAGATACCGGCATCCATTGTGAGTCCAAAGATGAGCATACATTGCAAATCCAAATTTAGACATCCACTGAACGTTCAGAGTGGTGTTCTAAGATCATCCAATTGATGTCCATTGGACGTCCTAACAATTCGAAGTGGACGTACATTGTGCGTACATCACATATACATGTGCTGTGTGGGTTGCACCAATTCAGTTCCGTTTTGAGTAATACTACAAAGATAAAATTGACGTTAAATGGCATGTGTCACTTGATTGATCCGAATCAAATATGCTCAGTTTTCAATCACCATCACAATGAAACCGTTCATCACATTTTGTTTGAATGCCCAATTTATAAGTATAAGTATAAGTCTGTCAATAGAGGATTTGGAGTTTATAGTTCGGGTTCGATTTCCAGCACGGGCAAGGAACTTATTTCAATATTTCATTTACGAATTGAATATTGTAAAGTTTCGGAGCATCGGCTGGGGATGGTCCTGCACGATTCGCTGTTGCGTTCCAATTAACAGTGCTGCTCCTAAAGTGGCGCATGGAGTTAGTTACAAAGCCTACACAGAACACGCAGAAAGATATGATGATGTGGTTGTGAGCATCAGAGAAGAAGTAGGACGGTGTATGTAGGTGGGTGTGGAAAACTACCAGCCGAGCGTGAGAGCGGGCCAGCTGATTAAGTAGACCTCGATCTCGGGGGTTAACGAGGATAGTTAGCAGGCATGGTAGTAAGTACATTACTAGCCTACAAAACACAGCTGAAAAACTCTGAAAAGCGAGCTGATGGGCGGTGCCTGAAAAGGATGTTAGCCAGCTCTCTTGAGCGAACCACATCAGTCATTGAAAACACTTAGGGTTTGCGAAAAGGTCCCATTGGGGACTAGTTGCTGACGTGGAAACGTCCCCCACCAGTACCATTCATAGCTTGCTATATATGTAAAATTCTCAAACTCAGGTAATTAATTTTGAATGAATAGGTAGGTATAGGAATGGTTCAACCCACTATTTTTATTATCTTTTTTTATCTCTATTTCAGTATTATTTGTATATTTTCTCGCTCTCTCAGATTAATAGTCACAAATTTGGTCCATATCTGACCCTTGCTGTGAAACTATGTTTTTAGAACCAATAAAGACATTATTATTCATTATTATTATTACTATATCAATTCATAAATCTGAAAAAAAAAATGCTCTGTGCTTGTTGCGTCATAAGTTGTCCCTCTGAAAAAGCACCTTGAAATAATTTTTGGATTTTGACGTAAAGTTCTTTCTTAGTATGCGTCGCTATATCAGTCTGATGGTATACAACTCATCATGAAAGCTTGCGTAATATTATTTCAATACTGTATGTTCTCCTGGGGTATTGCAGTTCTTCCTTTACTAAGTGAATGATAACTTCCGTGTCACTGAGATTAACTGAATTTTTTTATTTCACTCACACTATAGGCCTGAAAATGCAGTGTTTACTGGTTTGGAAGTAACTGACGATAGATTATTCATATCCATACCGAGATTGCGACCTGGTGTTGCTGCAACATTAACTTCGATACCAAGAAATACTCCGAGAGGAGCCAGCCCAGTTCTTCAGGCCTACCCGGATTGGTCCGCGCATGGAGCTGTGCGAGGACAATACAACTGTTCTGGATTGATTTCAGTCTACAGGTCTAGAACAGACTCGTGCAATAGGTTATGGGTGAGTTCTCATACATACAGTGCCCGTCTGAAGTCCGTTCCCCTCCTACTAATTTGTGAACCACCTATAGCATATCGCAACTAAAATTGAAGGGCTTCACTAGGAGATAGAAACCAATTGAAAAATCGGAGCTAAAAGTCTTGAAATGGCGACTGAGCGCCATCTTCAATATTTTTGTTTAAATAGAACACCCCGTATATTATTCCATTTTTGAAATTTGCTCATAATTCTCAACAGTTTACTCTGATACATTTTACTCCTCAATTCAATTGTTTTCGAAATATTAACGTTTGAAAGGTGACATTCCAGTATATGAAATGAAGTATGGATTTTGGTCACTTTCTGTGAAACATTTTGTTTACTACTCGTTGTTATTGATTTGTAGTTCAATCTCTGAATTATTTAGACTAATAAGAGGCGTAAAGAGAGTTTATTACGGATAAACAGCACCGCCTATCGGGAAATCTCGAAGCCTACGAATGTGTTCTGTAAATTCACAATCAAAACAAATTAGTTGGCTGAAAAATTATACATACCTTTTCAATTTCTGAATAACTCTTTTATTAAACCCCAACAATTATTTCATCAAGTGTTCAAAGTGGCCCACTCCTGAATCTTGACAATAAAGTGCCCTATTTTAGCTTCTTTCACGTTGATGAAAGTCTATTCATCTATTTCTTCACATGTATCTATTATTCTGCGTTCCAACTCTATTGTTTGGCATTCATAAACGTAGATTTTTGACTTCAGATTCTCCCAAATATAAGAATCTAGGGGTGTCTGTACTTCCCCTGCGACCTATCCATCGCCCAAGAAAGTTAGAATCGAGGAAGTCTCTAGCCCTGCGATCGAAATGGGGAGGTGCTCCATACTGCTGAAACATGATTTCACGATTTTCAAACTCTTCCTGATTGTTCAATACAATAATTATTTACCATATTTGAGGTTCGATTACAGTTTCTCAAAGAGTGGTGGTTCAAAAATTAGTAGGGGAGAGAACGGACTTTAGACGGGCACTGTATATGATTGAAGTGTAGTTCAATAATCGCGTCAGACCTCTGGAATGGAATAGGTGCAGACACACTCCATCGATGATAGAGTTCGAACATTGACCGTTTGTTTCGTGCTCATCGGGAACGAAGTGAAACAGACGCCCTCGAGAGCTAGGTTTGATCTTTGTCTGGTGTAGTGTGTTTTCTAAGACAAATTAATTATGGTTGGAGCTACTAACTGGACCAGTAACTTACATAGGGCCAGACTGAGTTAGAAGACTTGTTGATCTTGGTGGGTTCCGTTTTTAGAGATCGATACGTGATATCAATGTGACCAAATCAATGAATGAATACATTGTGGTTTCTTTTTATTATCATCAGCAATTCATTCATTTGCTAATTCGTCATCAACTGCACAAGAAGAATTTCAGCGAAGAATTTGAGGTAAATACCGTTATTGAATATTCATTTGGACAGGATCAGTGTCAATGAATATTTCCCTTACATAAAATATGTCCCATAAGAGCAATGCAACATTCGAGAAATTACAGCGGTAATTGCACTGCAGAGCAGAGATTGCCGTCCAAAAACGAATGAATGTTTATGTCAGATAGACTCGTGAAATAGCCCAAGGGATCACATCCTCTTTCGGACTTGGGCTTTTTCACCAACAAATGAGAATAAACTCTTGCAATTTTCAGGTAACACGCTTTCTCACAAAATTATCGCTGACTTTCATGTAATTATAACCGGAAAGATATATACCTCCTGTGTGTGAACGCAGACTTCATAGTTATTACTTTCACTGATTTCGACATATGATTTGACACTTTTCAAAACTGACGAAAGTTCAACACCACAATAACAAATCATGGCCAAGTTAATCGTTTTCTTGAAGGAAGTCGATTGTGACAAGAACATTTTCACCAACGGTAGGAAAATAAGGTACTTGAAGTAGGCAAAACCAAATTTTTGAAACAATGTTTCTGCTGTAAATGATCAGGACACTTCTAGGTATTGACAAATCGATATGTATTTTGAGGTCGTTAATCATAAGTGAACGCTAAACTAGTGGAAGGTTGACGAATACTCACCATTATTCAATTATTTTTCTGACACAAAATCACTTGCTCTGAGCGAACTCTTCGATTGGTGCAGGTGACATAACTATTTCCTCTCTATGGACATCTCCAATATATTATTCGGGTGTCCACTGTCCATGCCCAACGCGACCACTCCCACTATCTATACGACTTCATTATGATGTTAGCATTTGTGAAGTATACATGCGTTCTCGCTAGTACAATAATTACAATTTCAAGTCATGCAAGTGCCTTTCTGAACAACTGCTTTATTATCATATTCGTGAAGATTCTCACTCAGCTTGTGTGCCGCGCTCTCACCTGTGTGTAGTTGAGTTTTTGATCTGTTATTCTTTTGGAGTCGATTATGAGATACATATCTCTCCCAGAACAGTACATAATTATTGATATTTTCTACAGGATTTTATTCCACTTCCGATGATACTCGACGTGGGAGAAAGTGACGTTCAATGAGTATGGAAGTTAATTTCAATTACACTTTTCCATCTTCATCACTGAAGAATAGAATATTGTACCAATGCATCTAATAATGGACCGTCTATCTAAACGCATGATCCTGATGATGATATGCCCGGTATCTAGTGTCCCAATATTTGTGTGTGTATAATCTCTGGCCTTACCCTTTCGTGATTGCTTGATTCATCATAGCTTCACAATGAAATCTCTGCATGCACGAGTTTCTGTCCTTTTACCAAGGTCATTTTTCAAAGAACAATATATGGAGTATTGCATAGTACTTAACTAATGACACGTAAATGAATCACTTATGACAAGTGGATAAGTCACTAATGTCATGGGATTAGGCCACTGATGACAATTGAACAAGTCGATAAAGACAACGTTGACAACGAACGTATGTGCTGACTGAGCCGGTCGAGTTCGTCTGACTGGTATTGCTAGTGATGGAATTATAGCAGACATCTTTGAGGAACATTTCTCGTGGGAGTATCAATTGGAAATTTTGGTGGCCATGGCCATGTGGCCCAAGACTATTAGACTACAAGGTCATGCTAATTTTTGGGAGGGGTCATGTGACCCAGCATGAATTATATTCAAAATGATAGTACCATACGAAACGACTCTTGATAGAACAAATAGATACGTCAATTGTTTATCTGTATAAACAAAACGTTATGGAAATAAGCAAATTTTCAGAAACACTTAGAATTTTGAATAGCCTGTTCCATTCTCCACGACATAACGAGCTTCGTTAGAATCCAAACTATGAGGAGGATTAAAATGGCAAGCTCCAACATTCCTTTATAAAAATGGCAAACCCCCGAATTCAATGAAGAAGGTTAGACAAATTAGAATATTTTTTTTTTCGTTAATAAACAGTCATTAAAAACAAATTATTTGTTTCGGCAGTAGGAGGAATTTTAATGCGCTTTGCCCCATCAAAATCAACCATCTTAACTGAATTCCGAAATGAAGTGCTAAATCTCCTGGACTACTAGTGATTATCTGAGTATTCTAGTTCGAGATAGAAGAAACACATGAATTTAGATGCTGTCTATTTTCAGAATTCTCCATAATCCCTGCAAAAGTTCAATTCCAATGAATTATTCACCCCTACATCGACCTGAGTGCATTTCAATGATCTTTTTATGTATATGGCTGTTCCGCCCTTTGGATGTCCTGTTCTATCTCTCCTGATTGAAATATAAATTTGCTAAGAACTTCATTCTTTTCGTGATCTGATACTGTCATTTTAAATCAACTGTATTCAGATGACAATTGGGAAATTAATGTTTACAGCCTCCGTTTGTTAAGGCCGGCGGTCGGCGTTAACTGTTCCATAACAACACGATGTTGGGACTTTTTGGTATAATTACGAGGTACGTAAATTGTTCTTTCCTTGAAATCAAAATGTAATCCTTGGCTGCAACTTTGATTACCATACTCAACCTCATCTGTTATATATATTCACATTATAAAATTACATCGACACTATGTTGAAATGATAAGAATTTTGAATCTACATATTTCTTTGTGAGTCATTTAGAGGTCCAGGTTACGAAATTCAATCATGCCTCATAAATTTCCCCATAATATGATTTAGGAAAACTGATTTCTCTTCAGAGAGACTCATCGAAATAATGTCTGAAACTTTCACCTGGTGATTATCTATAATTCGATTTTCTGATAAATTATTTCTCTACTGAGGATTGTGTGTCAAATTATTTGTGGCCTCTGTTTCTTGTAACTTCAACTGGACCAAATACAACACACAACACAATATATCATCTCATCCAATTTCATCAGCTAGTGATTTCATCATAATGATTCACTATCGTGTGGAGACATGACTTCACGAAAAAACATTTCATCGTCTGGTTACTTATAGGTTGATCGAATCAATTACTCAGAAGAATCATTGGAAATTTCTATACATAGTCATTCTCATTTATATCTACATCATCCGTGTTCTGAAAATGTATGTTCCTTCATACCATGACCTAACCTATATTTTGTGTTGAAGCTTTTCAATAATGCAACGATGGCTATACGCTACACTGCATGACTGTTGGGAGTTAAGAAGTGTTTCAGATGAAGGTTGGTGAACATTAAGAAATATTGACATAATTATAGATTACTTCAGACTTGTTTGTTAAAGCTATTGTGGATTTGTCTGAATCACAACAACAGTACCTATATTGAATAAATGAAGATGCGCTATCAAACGGAAACAGATCAATCTCATTATTCGTTCGAATTAAATAATAGGTTGCTTTCGAATGCCAGTCTGGTGATTTTCCTACACTAGAAAATCAGTTGGCTATAGAAGGATAATATAATTAATCTCTCTGCTATAGGATATGAAACAGGAAGTTATATCATTTATTTCAGGTATTGGATGCTGGTACCATCGATTCAATCGATAACTTCAGGAGAATTTGTCCACCGAAGATACTGATTTATGATCTCAGAACAGACCAGGTTGTTCGCAGCATTTTCTTCCCGCTTGACGTTGTTCGACCAGCTTCTGTCTTCACCAATTTGATCATAGATGAAAATGTTCAAGGAAAATGCGACTCTGCGTTCGTTTATATAAGCGATACCATTGCACCAGGTAAACCATCAACCCGAAGTATCCACCTTTAGTATATTCTTAGAATATAAATAATACGGAACTCCCGCTGAAGAAGGAATGAAATTTTGCTATTGTTATAGGATCCTTTATTGCTATTTATCATATTGTACCAAATTGAATAAAATAAATTATGTTTGGAGAACAAAAAAAAAACTTGAATAAGTGAAGTATAGTATATGTAACTTGTTGGTATGTATGTACGGACCAACTGCCATTGACCTTGTGTTTTGTGTAGGCTTTGTTACTGACTCCATACGAGACTTTAGGAGCAGCACTGTTAATTGAAAGGCAATATCTAATCATGCTGTATTATATCCGGCCGAAGCTATGGAAATTTGACTTCATAACTGGTTTTGTAAATGAAAAATCTCTGTTCTGTCGGAGATTCGAGCTAAGCAAACTTTCGATGTTCTGATACCTGGTAGAGTGCCACAATCACTGCACTATTCCGTCGTTCGAACAAGTGAAATGTTTCTGTTCTATGGAATTTGATGTGAGATTCATAATACACGGAAATAAAAGGATTTGTTGCATCAACAAATTATTTTTGTTGGACTAAGCAATTTTTTGTTGAATCAACCAGATACATGATTATTTCATGGAAGCAGCTTGTTCAAATCAAGAATGTAGTCTAATTGAATCAACAGTATAATATCAATTTCATCAACAAAATATATTGTTTTATCAAAAACAAATTATTTTGATCCAAAATAATGTCGATGTTGATTCAATTATAAACATTTTGTTGATTTGATCAAATAATGATCATTTTGATAGGAATATATCTTTGGAACAACATACAAGTTTTCTTATTCCGATGTAGCAATGAACTTGTTTCGAACGGATGATTCGCTTGAATAGAGCAACGAAATATGTAATATCAATGAAATTTCTGTTCATTCTACATCAACTTAAATTTTCGCCTCTAAATGGCGATCATTCCGGCTCGTCTATGCCTGCCTCGAATTCATTAAATACGTGAAGCCTGATTCTTCGTGTTTGAAATATCAACTAGACAAATCGAACTTTGCATGATTAGCAATCCTAAATAGTTTTCCACCAGCTGGAGAGAAGTAAATACTGATGATCTATGCTAGGAGTCGACTTGTTTCCTAGTTTCGTTTATTCTATTGATGTGAAATTCCAGAAAATTCTCGAATATTGAATCTGATTCAACAAAACAATTTGTCGAATGGATATATAGTTTTTCTTGAATCAACAAAATATTTCATTGAATCAACCAAATATTTTATTGAATCAAACAAATATTTCATTGAATCAACCAAATATTTCTTTGAATCAACCAAATATTCCGTTGAATCAACTAAATATTTGATTGACGCAATATCTTATCAATTTCAATGAAACAAAATGATTGTTCAAGCCAATTCAATATCTCTTCAAAACCATTCATGGATGTGCTTGATTGATGAAGATCCAGAGTTCATGCAAGACATATTTACTTGATTCAAACTTCAAATTCGCTCTGAAACAAGATATAGATTAACTCATTTCAAGATTATATTTTGTCGTGCATATATGACACTTTTATTTGCTCCATTCAATTAAATTTTGCTTGATTCAACAATTCCTTTTTTTCCGTGTACTTGACAACACGTTACACATATCTATCTATTTCAAACAAGTTAGTTTTTCACACTTCATTCATTTCTAGCCCGTATTTCGTTTTTTTGTGCAGCACCAAAAGCAACATCTTCGCCTTTTTTCAGTTGTGTCTATGATGCGAGTTGCTTCTATGCTATTGCCAAGTAGTACGGCCTGAGTAAAGTGTTCTAGTTCTTGTCGCGTATTCACAATAGAAAGTCTACGTTTTAGATGAGGCCTAACAAGGGTCAGAGCTGAATTTTTCGTAAAAGAAGTCTCCTCAGAAGGGGGACATCTCGGAAGCATAAGTATAGAATGTAACTATTTGCCACTAAAATATTCACCAACATGAAAAAAACTGAAAATGGCCACCGTCAGCTTCTCGTATTAGTTGAATAGTTCGCACATTTCTGGAACATGGCATTGATGCCTCCTTTGGTTTAATTATGGAATGCTAATATTTCAGATTTATTACTTTCCATGTTGAAAATTGAACCGTTTCTGAAAGAATGTGTCTTATAGACACCGCAAGTTTTCAACCGTTTTTAGAAGTTCGTCTCATTGATGGAATGAACCTCTGGTGTACGCACTCCAATCCATTTCAGTCTTACAATTCCTCGATTTTCGCCTACTTCGATAAATAAAACATGGCGTGGGTGATTCTCGCCAAGTTTAGTCTGGTGCCGTACCAAAATAACAGATATCATATCAATGTGACAATTGTGACCGAATTGTGACCAATGGATATAGGAAATACATTTTGCGATTTAGCCGCACCAAGGTTGGTAGAACTGATGTTGATCATAATTTCTACCTACCTTGAGCCGCACTAGGAATCACGACATCTAACATTCAATATTTCAACCACACGTCATCGTCTGAAATTCGATTGTTTATATTAAGAACCAGTTTGACGAAACAAATGTCCGTCGAAATAGGTGTATTCATCAGGTTGGAGGAAGAAATTTTGAACAATTTTTCTGATGATATCATGTAGAAAAGGCAAAAGTTTGATGCATTGGATCCTATTTGGACAATTCATCGTCTGTCTAGATTTTAACGCGTCTTAGGGCCGCAGTGTCACTTTTCCGGACATGGGACCAACTACTCTAAATCATTTCTAGTTTTGCACTGAATATGCCCTAGAAGTTTGATCCCGTAGTTCTGTAACACCCTGTATAAGGTAACTTCAAGAACCAAGGCATTAGGAACATTCTCAACATTATTTGGTATTCTAAACAAAAATTGTTGCTGTGGTTCCAAAATTGTTCTATCCGTCATTCGGTTGTCCTCTTACGAGCAACCCACAGAAGTCTCCGAGAGTCTTGTACGAACAAGGAATGACGGGGGCCTCACCTTTTGACGTGTGATCCCAAACACTTTCTTGGGCCTTCAGAAAAATGTCTGCAGTCGCGGGGAATTGTACCTACGACCGGCTAGCGAATGCGAATTAGAATACTGACACTCTGACCGCACGGCTACGGGACCCTTCTCCTGAATAGAATTTGATAATCCGTTGTTGAGTGCCAAAAAAGTAACCAGGAAAATATATGTTGAAGACTACCCCGTACAAACTATATCTATTATTTTCGATCGTAGAATCCATATTCATTTCAGGTTTGGTAGTCTACGATGGTATTTCGGGAAGGTCATGGAGAATAAGCGATCCCACCATGTATCCAAATCCAGACTACTCTGCTCTGAATATAGCTGGAGAATCATTCTCTTTCATGGATGGAGTGATCGGACTCGCGCATTCACCAAAGCTCGCAACAGTTTTCTATCAACCTGTAGCTTCAGACAGGTAATTATATTATTGATGTTTCCGAATCGACATCCATATTGTCTTGATTGAATCCAGGGTGCCTATAAATGTTGACTGACGAAGTTATGCGGTCTGTCGATTACTCGAACATTATTCGAATTACAATCTTGTTGATTTTAAACAGTCGAATCTACTGTAGGTACATTTATAGTACTGAAACCTCATTGCTTCCAATGTACGCATGATGTTCCAGGAGCATATTAGGGATTCTCTCTCGTGCGCTCCTTTGAAGCATCAAAACTTCCTGAGGCACTTGATGACACAAATACAACGATGAAAAACGAAAATAGTTCATTGAACATACTGATGGCTTCGTGATTTGAATTTTTTTCGTGCCATATTGTACAATGTGTCCCTCTTCCACTGTAAGGACCCTGGTAATTTCGACTGGAATATACAATTCGAATATCATTTCTCAAACGTTTAACTAAAAAGACCTATCAACTGGTCAATGAATTGAGTTTGACTTCTCATTTTATAATCTCCTCACAAAAAAGCATTTTTTTTTCAATTTTTTTTTTTTCTAAAACTGATTGCATATTCCAGAAGTACCCATGTACAGAATTTCATCAAAATAGATGAAGAAGAAAAGATATCGATGTTTGATTTCCACCATTGAGTACACCATTATTTAGTTCTGTATAAGGTACTTCAAGGAACTGCTGTGTCAGTGAAATATGTGTTTTTGGAAGATGTGTGAAAATCTTATCGTTTGTGATGGGATTTTTCATAAATATTATTGAGTTTGTCATGAACATCGATCCACATCGTCTGTAATATATAGTAGTATAAAAAACTGAAGGAATACCCAGGAATACCCTTTCATAGATAGCTGAAGTGAAGAGATGTAGAAAATGAAATAGTATGAGAAATTTTCATCTGTAAATCTTACTTCAAAATACAGTATTCAAACATCAATTTAATTTTCCCAAGTTCAAATTTCTTCAGTGGACCCGTTCGAAAAATAATAAGTGGTGGGGGGCATTGAAGAAAAGCACTGTATACCTACTCATATAGTTTCCTGAATTTTGTGGTGTGATTCTAATCACAGAGGGCCATGAAATGTGAATCAACTCGATTCATAGATAGTCTGACAGATCTTTCTGGAATACACTGTATCACTGTATCACACGACAATCATGTTTCATGTTCATTTTATATTCCATGATACTCTGTATGCTTGACTTTCTCAACTTTGAATGAGTTTCCCTTTTGGAGAGTTGGTTTCCCACTTCAGAGCGTTGATATAAAAAAAAATCCACAAATAAAATACAATAGATAACTGAACCTGACCTTAAAAGAAATAGGAGCAATACCTATGTGGTGTCATTTTCTTGTGGAAATATTGTCAGATGATTCAAATAGAAGCCAGTATTTGAATGCATAATAAAGTTTGAAAAAAAAATTGCTTCCTTTGAAACAATATCAAAAGTGTTTCATAGCTTCTTCCATTCGATTGAATTAGTTTATTCTGAACTCGGCGAAATGAGTTTTTGGGTGCAATTATTGGAAAGGCAGTTCAACATATTAATGAAAATCAAATTTTGAGTTCTATCCATTTGCATACAGGGTTATAAACAGGACATTTTCAGTGAAATAATTACCTACACCATATGGTGTCAACTATTAGATTATCCTCCTCTGATTCAATCCAGAAAACATCGCACTAGCTTTTTTATTCGTTTGTCTTAGAATTTTCAGCATTCCCACCTCTACTCTGACGAAAGGCCCACCTGGAGAATTTGAAGAGTTACCTATTTCAGTAGCTGGAAGAAAGTCTTCACAAGGATTGCCACTGGCTATGAATCAGGATGACAATACTCTCTACTTCAGCCCTTTCTCCGAAACTTCAGTAGCCTCTTGGAATATTGAATCCAATCAACAAGAGTGAGTGATTTTCTCAACTGAAGAATGTTCAGTATATCCCATTTTGGTTGTGACAGTGAGATTTCTCGGTTGTTAGTGGAAATAGAACATTTTCATTCTATATTTTTTGGGATTTCCTCTCCTCGTTTCTTTGAAATGAGGATTCGAGTATTATTTCAATATACGTGTAGTGAGAACAAACCAGATAGTTTGCCCCAAAATGTCATTACGTTTTAAAATCTTCCTATCAGAGAGCCTAAAGGAAAAATTCAACAACATGTTAATCGTTTCGAAAAGAGGTTTGGGGAAGAGGAAAATAGGTTTAATAGAAACAATATCATATCAGATTTCTACTTATATTTGGACGTTGTGGGAAAGCATCTGGTTTGTCCTCACTACATTTATATTGGAATTATACAAATATTTTCATTTTATAGATACGAGGAGGGAAAGTCCCAAAAAAATCTGGAATAACGATTATACCACCTCCTCGATTACCCTACAGACAGTATTTGAATGGAACATATAGTTACCACGTTACCTTTCTACTACTTTTTTGAGACACAAGACGATAAAAACAGATTCTCTCACCTAGTTTCAGGGGGATTTTCAATATTCATCTATGGAGTTATTAGCGATATACAGGGTGTTATTTAAGTACGTGGCCAAACTTGAAGGGGTGATTCTTTGAGTGATTCTAAGACGAAAAGTTCATATAAACATAGGTCCGGTAATGCTTCGTTTTCAAGATACAGGGTGTCAAAATTTTCAAAAGAAATCGTTTTTTTCGTAAAAATCTTAATAACCCTTCAGCCGATTTTATTGAAATTTGGCAGTGTTATTCAAGGTCGTAAAGGGCTAATTTAACCCTAGCTATATCAAAATTATCATGTCCAGTGGCGTCCCGGAAGGCACTGTTACCAATATTTTTGACAGAAAAAATGTGCACCACTGATTTTTTGCAATTTTTGTATTTGTTTCACATTGAGCTACTAAAATTACAACTTTTTATATCTAGAATTTTTTTCGTATCTTGCTTTGTTTTTGAGGAAAAACATAAAAATCACTTCATTGCACATCCCTGTGACGAGCCGAAGCCAAGAGCCGAAGGCAAGTGCTGCAATTCATACATACATATTTTTTAGTTTTTCATTGCATTAATTTTGATAGAAAATTTCAAGACTAGAATAGAGTATTAATATGAAAAAATATTAGTAAGACCCCAGTTTTTGATGGTTTAGTAGTTGAAATGTTTTATTGTGTTGTCACAGGGATGTGCAATGAAGTGATTTTTATGTTTTTTCTCAAAAACAAAGCAAGATACGAAAAAAATTCTAGATATAAAAAAGTTGTAATTTTCGTTGCTCAATGTGAAACAAATACACATTTTTTCTGTCAAATATTGGTTACAGTGCCTTCCGGGACGCCACTGGACATGATAATTTTGATATAGTTAGGATTAAATTAGCCCTTTACGACCTTGAATAACACTGCCAAATTTCAATAAAATCGGTTGAAGGATTAATATATTTACGAAAAAAAAAAACGATTTCTTTTAAAAATTTTGACACCCTGTATCTTGAAAACGAAGCATTACCGGACCTATGTTTATATGAACTTTTCGTCTTAGAATCACTCAAAGAATCACCCCTTCAAGTTTGGTCACGTACTTAAATAACACCCTGTATAATATTTATGAAGTTGTTGAAGTTAATGTTAAGCTCTGTGATGAATAATTCTGCGCCGGGTTCAGTGGCATACTCATTGTTTTTTAAATATACCGTTGGCACCTATAGTACGATAAGAATTCATATTCTCCTCATCAGGATACCATCATATACCACATCAGCTCGATGAAATCGTTATAGTTTTGCCTTCAAGACAATTGCGTAATCCTTATTTTCGCGCAGAAGTTTGAATGGAAGGGATTTTTGCCCCGAATAGTATTTTTTCTCGGACACGGAAAAAGTTCGACATTTCTTTTCTGCTGACAGGTTACAAAATGTCACTTTCCATGCCACTTCTTTACCGGGTATATACTGTGTGACCCACTTCTAATGGAAACAACCCTGTATCTTACGTAAGCGTTGGGTAAGGATCCTGAAATTTGCTACAACGAGAGATATACCAGAAGTGCACCAAATGACCAAGTGAGATCATCTTCAATGATATACACTGCTCGCCAACAGCCATGAAACCACCCCAATTTCCGGAAAATGATATTAGGTTGAAAATCACTTCGGATTCGAAATTAGGACGCCAAGTTCACTAACAATTCATAGTTTCACTAGGAAATTAACAGTTCAGAAGAATTGAATGGAAGCAACCCCGTATCTCACGGAATTATTGAGGTAGGGTTCTAGAATTTGCAGGAAAAAGGTAACGTCCAAAGATGAAGTTGATTACGTAAGATACGGGGGTGCTTCTGTAAAAAGTGCGACAAAATTAAATTATTCAGAACTGAAAGTATTACAGGAAAAATATAAATAATTAGTGAATTGGGCGTCCTGATTCCGAATCTGAAGTGATTTTCGAACTATTTTGACTCCTAATATCAGTTCCAGAAATTGGGGTGGTTCCATGGCTGTTGGCGAGCAGCGTATATCACTGAAGATGGCCCCACTTGGTCATGAGTGCATTTTTGATATATTAGTTCCAGAAAATTTCAGGATCCTCACATAACGATTACGTAAGATACAGGGGTGTTTCCATTAGAAGTGGATCACACTGTAGGTGCACTGTTGATGCCTTATTTTGTTGTGCCTTGTGCCATAGTTCCGAAAAATGAGCCAATAACACCGTCTCCGAAATTGACAGATATTCGATTATTTCTAAAGGTTTCATAGCAACAAGCAGGATGGTTTTATAATTATGTTATACTCAATATCTATATCAATAATGTTTTCGCCGTGAAGAAATTACTTTTTTTCACTGCCAAAATGATTTACAAAAACATGAAATGATACTAAAGGGAGGATTTATTCTTGAAAGAATCCATTAATGCTTGATCATTCATTATAAAACAATTATTGGAATTATTGGAATAATAATTTATATATCGAAGACTGGAACCTATGGCACGATAATACACTACACTGTTTTACCACCAACCAAACCGATTTTTTAACGCCCGACACGTGTTTCGCTATCTTCAGGAAAAGATTAAAACTAAATATCCTATTCTAGTGTGCTGCTTATATACTAGGTATATGTTCACCCAACCGTGAAAAATACTAACCGTCGAGTTAATGTTTTTAATCTTGATTCTTATATTACTAAACTATGAAGAGGGCTATATGGAATAGGTCCATTATCCTTATTCATTACTCTATTGCTATTCTTGAATATCTCTAAGCTTTCATATGCGTCTAGTTTTCTAATATTAATAACTTGCTTAACTAATTTGAGTTTAATAATATGTGTGTTATGATTGTGATTGAACATATTATGTTCGGCTACACAAGATTCATCTAACCTGCCATATTTCAAATGGGCTATGTGTTCTTTGAACCTTGTTTTTATGTGTCGCCTGGTTTGGCCTATCTATGTTTTATCACAATCATTACAACTAATTTCGTATATTCCCGACTTTTCAGTGGACACACGTGGAGAAAAAGTGAGTACTTTTTTTCCGGATATATATCACATATTTATACACTGTTGATGGCTTTTGTTGTGCTATAGTTCCGAGAAATGAGTCAATAATACCGTCTCGGAGAAAGAACTGCAAGTCCTTTTATCTTCCATTCGACTTCGCGGTTATTTATATTACTGAAAAGCCACATAATTAGCAATTTTCTAATATAAAATCACATAATTAGACTGACAGAAGTGCGATCAGATATTTGATTACTTCAAAACAATGATGAAGGTGCCTACAACGCAGGTGTTCCTACCTTTGCGCGATCACCTGATTGGCATATACGTATTAATAAACAATACGGATCATAACGGGTGCAAGGATGAAGCCAAAAATATGAAACAAATGAATATCCATAAGGATTTGGTGGCATGATACGCATGCGCCATGCGCTATTATGGTAGTCATCAAAGACATGCGTTTCGGTGGACAATGACGTTTACTAGCCTCTCAATCAAAGCAGTATGTGTCTGATCGTTTCAAAACTTTTCCCTAAGGATAGTCATTTGTCTTCAAAAATCGGCTTCATATTTCGCTATGGAAACAGATAGAGATTATCCGTAATGATTATTGATACGTATATGCTGATTGGACGCCGCTGTATTTTTTCTTTGGGGATACGTTACAAACTTTGTTCACGCGAATAATAACGATAACACTATGGGAGACTGTTATCGAACCATTCCATAGTATTCCCAGAATTGCTTAAAAATACCTTAGAAGCAACTGTGAGAATATTCTTTGTCCAGAAAATAATGCTTATACAACATTTGTTATGAATTTTATGTTTCCCACATACTGTTCGTGTTGTCAAAGTTTGATTATCTAGGTGATTCGTGTATACACATATAAAAACGATTTCTCCGATGAAACAAATCCATTTTCTTGTATTCAAATTGCATCGTACAAACATTTTTCATTTGAGTGGAGCAATTTACCAGGGTCTCAAATGAATTGGCTTGCTTCCTTCGTTTCTTGAAATTTCTTGATAAGAATTTGCTCAACATAACAGTATATTTATTTATTTGAGGATACCGCGACTACAAGTTCAGTAACCTAAATTCCAATTTATATTGGTTAAAGAAAATCTCTGCTTGTTTTAAAGACTTGCAGTGACGTATATACCGCGGCACTCCTGCGCCCATTCGCTTCTTCAGTCGTTAGCCGTCATTCGTAATTGCCGCTGATGTTTCTTCTGAAGAACGTGCAAAGCACCTTTGTTTTTCAATGGTGAAGTGTTCAAGAATAAAGTGTGCTGAGTCATGGATAATCGTAGTGTAGTATCATATACACAGCAATGGGGCATTCCCATAGACCTGGCATTCCATATATTTGAGGACAATCTGCGGGGGTGACAACTCTGTATATTTTTGTAACATAG